CTCCTATCCGCTTCCTGCGCATTACATTCATGTGACTACAAATTATCGGGGCTAATACCCACGTGTTCCATTACAATAGCTCCCTATCTCTAAAACTAGATGCAGGAAGCAATAAAATCTTTATTGGTATGCCAATAATTCCTTAAAACGACAATAACTAGTTTAATAAAAAATTACGTGGAGTTTCCACAAACAATAGTATTACATGATTTATCGCCATGCAAACCTACAAAGAACTTGATAACCAGTTTATTTCAAAACGGAGAGTTTATGTATTACGAGGAATACAGTGTAACTGCCTTACATACAGTGTAACTGCCTTACATTTAAGATACCGCATGATTAGATCAACAGACACATTTATATTGAAAACGTCATATTCCAAATACTGCAAATGTCCAAAAAGTGAGGGACGCGTCACCGGCCCTCCTCCGCTTTCCAAATTTACTCGTATTGTATGTGTCCCGCACTATTTTTATTGAATTTTTTTAAAGAATTTGCCAGAAACTGCTAGGTTAGAAATACGTTTGGCCAAATCTATTACTAATAAATGTTAATTGAGCAATTGAAGGCATATCACTACAATAGGTTAAGGAACTACAATGGGTTAAGGTTAAAAACTTCCAACCAAAGATTCGCGTAAATTTTGGAAACTGAACAATGTTCTTATCTCGCTGGTTTCGTTACAGAAACACCTTTTAAAAAATTACTATAACCTGATAGGATGCATGATACAAGAATAATTATAATGCAATGATTTTTGCAAAATAATGACACCGAAGCAAAAGTTGACGAATTGTCCCAAACATGCATGCTAAATTTTCAAACGACTAATATAGCATAATTATCAACTTTTTTTATAAAGTTTGCGCAGTACTCCATGTTGCAGAAGTGTTACAAAGACAGAGACCATTTTATGTCGAAGAAGTCTATGGAGAAGCTTATGAAAAGGAATTAGAATTTGAAAGTAAGCCATTACTGCATACACTGTATAGTTTATGCTATTGTTCGAAATTACAAAATTATAGATAGAACAAAAGTATCTATAGGGTTATGTACAAGAGTCAGGGGCGTAGGAAGCATTAAAAAGTTGGGGGGGGGGGCGGTTTCGAGACATATCATTATATTCGCAAACATACAAAAATTTTCCCGGACATATCATAATTTTTTGACATAGCAAAATACTAAAATAAATGCAATCATAAAACAAAGGTTATTGAGGCAAACGACGATCTCAACGACATTTTTCACGTTGTCAGAAAGGCACTTTGCCATCGAAAAAAAGGCACTTTATTTATCACTCATGTAGATAGTTTTAAAGCTTATAGTTACCTCTGTTTTATTCTATGCAGAAGTAAACTAGAGCAGTGGACAATTAGGCATGTGAGTTATCTAAAGTTCTGAATTGGGTAAAAACAATGTTACTTATATTATTGAGGTAACTCCCTCCAGACATAACTTAAACATTTTCACGCGAAGCTTGCATGGTTGCAGTGTTGAAAGCGACATGCATGAATTATAATGCTTTTTCACCCTGCAACACCCTAAATTAAAAAACACTGATCAGCGCTTTAACATGTTTCTAACTATAAGTGTATAAAAAATTGCAATTCAACTCGTTTGCGCGCGTTATTAATGTTGGGTTCATGGCAAAAATGTTTACAAAGTTGTATCATTATAAAAGTAAATGCGTTAATTGGAATCACTTCACTACGTTTAAAATGACGTGGCTGATGTGCCGTTTAATTAAATTTCAAATGACGCGAGCCGACAGATCACGACACTCTTGTATATAAAAAGAGCGTGTGTACACAGAATAGGAAGTTATACCAGAAGCGTAACTCCAGTCGTTTCCCTTATTGTTTGACGTCCACGAAAATTTTAACTCGCTCACGTCAGGCCACGTCATCCTGGCCAGTACAGCCGGAAGTTTTTATCAGGATTTGGTAGGTACAAAGTGCCGGTTGTACTAGCCAGGATGGCGTGATTGATGACGAATCGCTTGTAAAAACGCGGAAAAATATTTGCTCCAGTTACGCTTCTGGTATAACTTCCTATTCTGTGGTGTGAATTAAACAAGTCACATATTATTAGCACTGATGAAGATCCGGGCTTACGGATCGAAAGCTTTGCAGTAATAAATTTACGTGGTGTTTCCACAACAAAAACAATTATATTTTATCGCCATGCAAACATTCAAAGAACTTAAGAGTAAATGACCAAATACAGTTCCATGTCAAAATTTCATTTTTTTACCGTTGGAAATTGGGAGCAAAACTACTGAAAATAAATCCTTTTTGGATCTAAAGTTCATATTAAATTTTCATTTAAATTAATTAAAAAAGCCTTAATTTTTAAAACCAAATTTCAAAAGTTTGTTCATAAATGTGGTCACTTCTGTTTATTCATTTATTTTCTTGCTTGGTAAAAAAATTATCAGTGATTTCTATTTCTTTTCTTATATGCAGGCTGGAAAATGTGTGCGAGCAATTGGCTCGTATATTTGGTTATTTTTGCGTTATAGAAAAAAGGCGCCATTCAAAAACTAAAAGTCAAATCATTTTTAACACGAAAAAATTAAGTCTTTTCACAAACTAAGGCTTATATTCTGCCAACTGTTTTAATTTCATATCGGCGCCGAATCAAGGCAGAAATTTAACGAATGATCCCTAGAACGTGTAAAAACTTTGGAACGATTATAGCATAAAAATCAAATTCTTGCATTTTTTAAAGGGGCCCTACAGTAACTTTTTAATCGAAAAGCCACCTTAAGTATTGTTTACATTTTTTGTTATTGTCGCTACTTGACATGCGCACCAAGGCACGCATGCGTCTTCCGGTGTGCGGAAGTACTCATACTCATGGATACTGCATGTAAGATACAGCCAAACGAATCTCCATGGAGTCCCCTACTTAAGGTGGCTTTTCGACTAAAAAATGACTGTAGGGCCCCTTTAAAGTACGCCTGGACAGCTGCAGCATACTTGTAGTTGCAGCAGTAATGGAGGAAGCAAGACCAATTCGTGAAGAAGCTTATACTGGAGCTCATTTCAAACATTCATTAATAATTCATAAGCTTACTGGCAAATCATGTCAACCATAATATGTCACATGCAGTGGATTTAAACCTGATAAAACACTACTAATTAGTATTCTTTATATAAAGAATACTAATACGGCAGTATCTATTGTAGTCGTGTCCTCATTTTTATTCTTTTTTAAGAATACTAATTAGGCAGTAGGCCTATATCTATTGAATTTGTAGTCGTGTTTGAAGCCGTTTAATAAACTCGCAGGTCGTGTTTAATTAGGTCTAAAGCCACTCGCGCTGCGCGCTCGTGTCTTTAAACTATAAATAAAGCACTCCTGCTCGTTTATTAAACGGTACTTAAAAGATGAAGGTGAGACAGTAATATAACAAGAAGGATAATTTGAGAAATATTACTCGATTTTCTCATTTTTCTCTTAAAACACATGAAAGAAGAAAGCAGATAACTAAAGCTTCATGAACATGATCAGGGGCCGGTTATGTAAAACCATGGATTTTAAAATAACATGTATTTTATTATCCATGGTAAAACTCGTGACTACTTTTTTAACTATCAGTTTTTCAGTTAATTTAAATAGTGGTTAACTTCAACCACGTAGTTAAATCGGTTAATTGTATTTAACTTCAACCACGTAGTTAAGTTGGTTGTTTAAAAATGTATAGTATGTATAGCGCGGCAACGGCAGTTAAATTAAAAAAGTAGTTAAAGTTAACTATGCTCCAGGGTATCGCTAAGTCGCTAACTTCTTCAAATGCAATTTTCGCTGCGATTTTAGGTATATACTAATCACATTTTCGGCATATACTATCCATCAAAAAACTGAAAATAAAGGGAATAATCGAATTTAACACAGTTCTGCCAAATCCTATCAATCTAAAGATAGGTAGATAGATAGATAGATAGATACAGATATGCAGCTCGAGAGCTGAATTACATATTTACAAATTTGGGAAACTAATTTACAAATATTTTCTTAAATATCAAATTTAAAAGACCATTATTACAATATAGTTAAGGCTAAGTATATTTACTAAAAAATACATGCTTGCAGAAACCCTCGCCTTGC